AGGTGTACACAATCAGTCCCGAGGGAGGACCCCAAGCAGACATCAGTGCACATAGAATCAATGGCCAAAGATCATTACAGAAATCACATCAAAACAAAACATATCATATTATCATATAACTCTATATGAATACATCTATACAAAGCATCAAATACAATCATACAATCCAACAATAGTCTACTAACCATGGTGGTGCACACAAGTAGGAATAGACTCCTTAAACATAGAGCTTATCTCTTGAAGCTTTACCAATTTGCTCACTCGTAACACAAGTTACTTATTTAGCTCCAAAGGAATCCAAAGACTCTCAGTCCCTAGGCACACCGAGAGAAAGAATCCAAAACAAAACTCAATAAAATGCTACAATGCCAAGTAATTACACAAGACATACACTTTATTATTTACTTTCACTTCTTAACATTAATGCCAATCATATGTCAATTCACAAGTCCAGACCACATTCTTTAAGCTCTCTTATTAGACCAATTAAGGATGATTATTCATACAACAAGCAACCAATGCCATGCCTTGGAACCTAAACATATCATCAAAATAATTTTTAACATATCAACCCCCAAATAACCTTATAGGCCGAATTCAATGAGGAGGGTTTTCCAAAGGATTATTTTTCATACTTTCAATTTAATCACTAAATTCACACTTCCACAAACATAAAACCTTCACAAATTATGCAATTTAATTTTTTGCACTCCAAACCCTTATCATCACTACATGGCCGAACCTAGGGAGAAAAGCCAAGGGGATTTTTTCAATTTTTATACACACCTTTATGCTTATTTAACACTATTACTTCATAAACCATACTAATTCATCATCAATTTCAAATTTTCAACTTCATAACTTTCCACAAAATATGCTCATAATATTTAAAACTTAAATCATGACATGTAAACCATTGGAATGAAGATCTCTTACCTCAAATCACCTATACAAGCTTGGAGAACAAAATCCAAGCTTGGTTCCACCCAAAAACCCAATTCTCTCTTTAGGATGAATAGTGACCAAAATTTGAGAATGAGAGAGCTCTTCACACAAGCCTTTTCAGCCCAAACAAATGGGTGGAATGGGTTCACAACGATTTCTACTAAAAGTTTCATCTATAACACTTTGTATTTTGGTGATTGTTTGAGTGAGAAATCAAGGAATGAAAAGCTTGAAGACAAGCTTCCATGGAAGGAGGGTGCTTCCAAGAGAGACAGAGAGACGAAGAGGGTTCTGATTTGAATAGTGACTTAGGAAGAAAACTTAGGTTTATAATGATGTGTAATCTTTTACCGATTATTTTTCGCTCACTTAATTTCACTTAAATTAACCCGACATTAACTTAAAGCTAACAATTCACAGTATGGTTTCTGCACTGTTTTTTTTTTACGAAATGTGAATTACTAACTATACACTATTTACACACGAAACTGTAAAACTTATAAAATTAACACTTTTGGGCTAAACATGACTTGTTTGGCATATATTGGACTTTCTTATTAAACCAGTACCGGTTTTCTCTTCAACCCGGTTTTTCAAAATTAGTTACAAAATGTTTTTTTGCAGCGAGTGGGATTCGAACCCAGCACATTGGAGTGAGAATAGCCATTTCATACCACTAGGCTACTATCATTGGTTGAATAAATTACACCATTTAATATATTTATTATATAACTATTAAGTTAAGAGAATTATTTCAAAAATTGCATGTAATGGGTTCGAACCCCTTGCATTAAGGATATACAACATAGCAAATATCACTAAACTACATCAGGTTGTTGTTTAAATGGCACCATTTAAAATATTTATTATATAATTAAGTATAAAATATAAATTTATATATATATATATATATGTATATATATATCCGGTTCATGCGGTTCAACCCGTGATCCACCGGTTGAACCATTGACCCAGTGACCCGGTACCTCGACCGGCTTAATGACCGGTCCGGTTCTAATAACATTGCTACTGGTTGCTTAAACAGCGATACAAAATACCCGGCAGAAACACTATTCATGAGATTTTCACGGAAAGTGCCAGACTATACAATTTTTCGTTCTGAACTCCTATTTGGCATCAGAATTGCCAAATTAGGTCGCTAAACTCATTTTGCTCATTCTAAGCTCTACCGATTGATTCACAACAATGCAGATCATCTGGCAGAATGCACTGTTTATGACTTAGTCACGATTATAGTCAAAATATTTAAAATCACGTTTTAAATCTAATTATGGCATTTAAATCCTTAAATTAAATCTCTAATTAAGATATTATAGGATTGTTTGATGATTTACCTGACATTTTGAGATATTATTTTGATTGACTTGGTAGTTGCTTATTTGGTCTCATTATTTTAGTGCATGAAAGTCGGTCTTGTATGTAATAGTTGTATTTACTTAGTTGTTGTAATCCTAAATGTATCATTGAAGGATCTTGTGTATGTAAATGTTGATGTATGTGATGGAAGGGCTATTTTAGATATTGAAGATGTTTAATTATAATGGATGACAATTGGGACATTGTGTATGAAAAGGTAATGAGAGAAATTAATAATGTGAGATGAAAGTGTAATTTGAGTAAAGAGGTATAATATGAACTGATGAGTATTATGGGTTGTAAGTGCACCAAGGTATGTTGATCCTTTGGATGCCACCCTTTGGTCTATTAGGTACCCTTTTTGAGTATTGTAACACACTTGTATAAAGTGGGGGAAAGTTGTAAAAACAAAGGAGACTATGCTGAAATCTCAAGAAAAACAGTGAGATTTTACACTAACTTTGAGAAACCATAACTCTCTTCATAGTGGTCTAATTAAGGCATACCATACCTTATTATGAAGCTTAGGATGTCTCCTACAATGTCATGTAATTTGGTGTCATTTGAAGTTGTAGAAACTGCCTAGTCTTCATTTGAATGCAGATTGTTCTTGTTCGCGCTGTATTTTACAGCATTGGTGTTCGTTTTTGAAAAATTCATATCTCTTTCATTTCTTACCCCAAATTAGGATTATGATATATCAAATTGAAGGTTGAGGTGTTTACTATAACATATTAAAATTTGGTGGAAAAAAGAAGTGTGAAACGTCTGCAGTTCAAAAAGCAGTGAAGGATATTTGTGCACTTGAAAGTGCATATTTGACAGTTTTAAGAAATTAACTTACGGCGAGCGTATTCGGAGTTGTAGAACTCCAAATGGGGAGTGTGATACCTTGTTGGAAAGGTAAAAGATTGTAGAATAACATATCAAAAGATGAGAGTTTATGGATAAGTAGTCCAGTTGCAGTTTTGGAAAACTGAATGTACCTAAAGAAGGTAAAATGTCAAATTGTGTATTTGTGCTTTATTGGTTTATGGGAACCACTTAGTAACTTAAAATAGATGTTGTATGATGTTAAGCGATAGTATTTATGATTTCGCAATAGTTTTGAGTTACGATCATTTTTTTGGAAAATGTTAAATATGGATGTTTTATAAACGTAAGGATTTTGCAAACGGTTTTAAAATGAAAAAGGTTTACCATATTTTTAAATGAACTGTTGTGATTGTAACTACGCTTAATATCATAATTGATAATAACATTGTCGGTCGTGAACGGGGTGTTACATTTAGTTAGAGAGTTTTTTATAATGAATAAAAGAAAAGGAAAAGCTAGGAGCAATTTTTTTTAAATGTATGCTAGCTTTTTGAAATTTTCATTTTATTTTATAGTTTTACTCTTATTCTATTTATCATCTACCCTAATGATAAATTATTTCATCTCTTTCCTTCAAAACCCTAAATATATCACCAAAATTTTATATAATCACAAACAATTTTTAGTTTTATTTTTTAAGTTTTTTTTAACTTTAACTCTAAAAAAATATTTAGGTTAAAAAAAATGTGGCAGAGCTCTTAATAGGATGTAATTTACTTAACTTACAAGTTAAATGACCCATATCATAAATCTCATGCTATGGCTCTATACTATTAGTGTGTTTGGTTTTCTGGTTGAAAACATTAAAATCATAATTGGTAGGTTGTTCTAGCTTATTTTCGGTCCAATTGCATTATAGTCTTGTTCTAACGAATGATGACCATTGATCCTATTCCCTTAGTGATTTGAATTTCATTGTGCCAATAAAAGGGCATTAATGAGGCAAAATAGGTGATATCCGCAAGTCTATGTTGTTTTGGGTTCCCAATTTTTCCACTCATCGTTAACAAGAGAATATGAAAATGAAGGGGAAGTGACTTGCAACAAATCAAAGAGGATGCAAATTGAAAGTTCGAGAAAATAGCTTTTCTTTAAAGTTATTATAGTATAGCTATAACATATGGTTCTTAACAATCAAATCAGATATAAATAAGTCTGACTCTCGTTGATCGTTTTTATTTTCATAATATGTGTCAAGAGAATAAAACGAGAAAGGATATATTTATTATCTTTTTTATTTTTTTATTTTTTTATTTCTTTGATTACTGTTAGATCAATTTAAAATTAACAGCAATTAATTTTTTTAACCGTTGATTTCAAATTAATCTAATGATAATTAAATAAATAATTAAAAATGATAAGCATATAATTGTAGTAAGTAAAGGATGAACTCGTCATCCTTAAGTGAGAAAGGAATCTAAAAATTTAAACTAATAGATGAAGGTGATATTAATAATTTTATATTATATTTTCTTACTATAATTCAAAAAAAAAAAAAAAAAAAACGTTTGACTTTTGCCAATGGTGTTCCATGCTGAAACAGGTTACACTCTGATCAATCTATTCATATTCACGTTGGCCGGTTGCATCACCATAAATCTTTATGGTTGTTAATTACTACGTGGAGTAGCACAATTGGTAATGGTAGGACCAAAACATAAAGTAATAGATCTAATAAAGACGTTAACATCCAACCACCAACTGTGTCCATGCCACTACCTTTTCATATGTTCAAAAAAGTCTCAAGTCTCAATTTTCAAAACTTTCCCAAAGAGTCATTTATATGAGGGTACTCAAAATCTGAGCTTTGTTTGTCACTGTTGTTATGTAAGCCCCCCTCTCTCTCCCTCTATCTTTTTGTCTGTTAGAAATGGCATTTGCAAGTGTCATAGCTTTTGTTGCATTTCTTGTTCTTCAACCTCTTTCAGCTAGAAGTGACTTCCTTTCTCCTATGCTTTCTCCCATCTTTGGTTTGTAACTATTTCTTCTTTAATCTGTTCTATTGATAGCAAGGATATGATTCTGTTGGATAGAGAAATATAACTTTGCATTAAAAAAAAAAATTGTATATTTTTCTCTCCAACAAACCATATCTTGTGAATCCAAACCCTTCATTTAAAGGGTCTTCTCAAATTCTTTTTTTTATTTTTATAATAATAATAATATGTACAGCTTGGGATTTCTGAATTGCTTTTTTGACATGCTGTTTTGTTTTGTTTTGTTTTGAATGTGAGATGAATTCAGATGATGTCTGCAAAGAAGTGGAATGTGGAAAAGGAACTTGCAAATCTTCTAAGAATAGCACTTTCTTCTTTGAATGCGAGTGTGATCCAGGTTGGAAGCAATCTCCTGGTTCCAATGATGAGGCAGATTTGAAGTTTCTTCCTTGCATAGTTCCCAATTGTAAAGATTCTCTCTTTCCCACCAAAATAAAATTGTTCACTATTATTTTAGTTTTCTTTGTTGATTTAATCTTGACATTGCCTCTAATGCTTGCTTTCAGTACTATTACTAACACATGGTAATTTTGCAAAGCAAAAAATTTTAAGCTGTACTTTTTCTTCTTGGTTTCTATTTTGGCTCCATGTGGTTGAAAAGGTTTTCGGTATGTGGTGAAATTGTTTACTACAATGTGGAAGTGTCTAATCACGCTAGTTTAGAAGCAAGCAATTAACTATAGCAAAGGAGGGTAGCGCGATAACTTGGTGGAAATCTTACCAAGATGGATACGTTTCTTGTTTTAAGGGTAGAGATTTTCTTCATATACTTAGATACTGTCAAAGTGTTTTCCTCATGTAGGAATAATTGGATCGGGGGAAGCATGTAGGAGCATTGTGATTTGGAATGTTAACGAATTATCATAGTTCATCAACACACAAGATATATACCTCTTCTAGAGTAAGTGCTCCGGATACCTTTGTCTAGAGTTGAATCTCCTCACTGCTACAGATGATCTTCTCGTAGGTAGCAGCTAGATGGACAGATCTTTCAAGCTATGACTCGAGGGCAGAGAGAATTGTGTGGACACTATTCATTATTTCAGAAAACATTACGTCGCTTAAAAATGAGTATATATAAGGATAAAATATAAGGAAATAATTATCTTATCTTGCATAAGATAATTGGGAGAGGTTATAGTTACTACTCTTTTTTCTTACTACTTGTTACTATTAAATCTTAACCATTGATTTTCGTCAATCTAACGGTTATAATTTATTAGAATTAATAATTAATTAATAAATGTGACCCAATAATTTATAACCGTTAGATTGACGGAAATCAACGGTTAAGATTAGGTAGTAACAAGTAGTAAGAAAAAAAGATAGTAACTATAACATTTCCCAAGATAATTATCTTATGCAATAGAAACAATTTATTAAGGTCCATTACTTTTTTAATAAAAAAGAAAACAAAAGAAAAAAAGAAAAGGGTTGGCACTGATATCGATATATGTGTAGGAAGAAATTCTTATCTCCTTTTAAAAGGAGAAAAACATTGCCTTAAAATATAACCCTAGATCTCCTTAGGCCCTTCTCATCTACTAAAACACAAAGGGATTTTAAGTAAGAAGAGCATAACCAACACCTCGGACTATGTTGTAATATTAACACAAAGCATTAACTATTTGTATAATGGTCCACAATTGCATAATTTTCAAGATAATTGATCGTGAGTTTGTAACACGACGTAATCCCATTATAAAGCTGTGAAGAGGATTACTACAATAATGTGATAGTCTGTCCAAACTTTCTAATGAACAACAATAACGATGTTTATGATTGTCTTGAACAGTTCTTGAATTTTCTTCATGACTAAAAGTATTTTATTTTCTAGGATGCTGAAAGATTTGCATGATATCCTTTAAATTTGTAGGTACATTGAACTACTCTTGCTCCAATGCCCCTTCCCCTGTTCAAGAAAAAGCAAGAAAAGCCAATGAGTCAATTTTTGATGGTAATTAAAATATATAACTATAGCATCTTATACTTCACTTTAACATTTTTTAATTTTTATTTTTTGAGATATTATAGTATTTTATTCATATGTTCATGTAGCTTGCCATTGGGTTGATTGTGGAGGTGGCTCATGCAACAACACATCCATGTTCACCTATAGTTGTGAATGCAATGCTGACTATTACAATCTCCTCAATGTCACAGCCTTCCCTTGCTTCAGAGAATGTAAGATTACAAGCCTCATTCATAGTTAAAACCATTTGTTTTATAGCAAATCATATGTTCTATGATTGATTTTGATGTTAAAAATGCTATGAGATATTTTCAAGTGGTGCCCCAAAGTAGTTTAACATTACTTACTTGAGATTTGGATTTTTGGATTCAAGGTGCTATTGGCTTGGGTTGCCCTGATCTTGGAATAACAATGACAAACCCATCTTCTTCTCCACTATCAGCTTTGAATGACGGTAGTAAGAATGAAGGTAAGGTCACAACTGAATGGCTAAGTCAGCATTTGTTTTTCTTTGCTTATCCTAAAGATAAACAGAAGTTTTAGTTGCTTAAGTTGGTCTTTATTGAGACTTTGCATAAATGTTTTTACTTCTAAAATCTCAAGAGAAGCAGAACTCTGACTCAACAAATAAACCTTCCTGGTTTCATGAATACTAAACTCTTGAAAAATCAAACTTTTTTATTCTTTTGACAGAAATATGGTCCAATTGTTATCAAAGTTGCAATTAAGACGGTTTTTCTAATTTCTCTCTCAAAGTTAACTTATCATACTATTTGTTGTACATTTGTTGGAAATATTCAAGTATGAGTATCGGATGAAATCCCACAATTAGAAATGAACTAAGCGAGGATCATATAAGTACAAAAAGACCCATTGATTTTCACCTTTTAAGGTTTTGGATTCAAATATGGTATCAGCTCACTTATTATGGTTTGTCATTTGACTCATCGGTGAAGGTATCATTTATCTTTATAAAGGGTCTTGGCTCCCTCGTACCATTATATTGACATTATTTTAAGCATATTATAACAGGATATAAATCGTAATATGTACCTTATCCACATGATAATTCCTTTCTCTTCTCTGTTATTTACTTTTTTGTGTCTATCAGCTAGCTCAATTCTACAAGGAAGTTCCCTTTGGCTGGTCATGCTGATTATCTTCATGGCAAAGATCGAGTTTCAATAGGACAAATGCTGGATAGTTTTAGCAGTATCTCATATTATGCTATTGATTTGGAGAGGAATGGTGATCATATAAATAATGCATCAGGGTTTAATCATATGGCAGTTTTAGTCATAATATATCTAGTGCAGATGAGAGAGCATGAGTTTTTTGCCTTGGTTTTTTCATTCTCTTTGTACAATTATTCCATAACATATATTGATGATTGATGGTCTTATATCTTATTGTGTTCCCCAAGTGTCATGAATTTGATTGTTTATAGAAGGTTATATTTTCTTGCAACTTGCATTGGTGCTTGTATTTCTCTTATACATATTACTGTAAATGGGGCATAGGAGGAAAAAATAAGAGTTGTTCATGGAAAATGTTTGAGAAAATGACAATTTAGTTCAATGCAAATAAAAATTTATTTCACTTGAGCTTATCAATACATTTTATTATTATTAATGTTCTGATACTCCAATAATTTACATTGGTTAATAAGGCTCATTTAAGGGGATAATTCTCATGCTTCCCAAAAGAGAGACTTTTTAGACCCTCATAGTAGAGGATCTCACTCCATTGTACTACTGCATCTCATTTCACTCACAGGAGGTAAGCTTGTCTCTGCACATGATGAGACCCATTGGTCAAAATAGTTATAATTCTATTTTATGATTAGGAAGTATTTCTCACATATAAATACGCCCTCTTTTGCTATTGAAGGGGCTAATGGAATCCATTATTTTATGAGTTGTAACTATGCCAAATACAAAGTCATTTTACCCTCTACACAATTCCCCCTCTCAACTTTCACGTGAGATACTCATTGTGACTCCCTCATATAGTTTTGATCCATATCAATTGCTTCTAGGAGCTTTGTTATATCAAGATACTTCACCCTAGGAAGGAAAACAAGTCTAATCTCACCGTCAAATAGTTCAATCAAATAATCATGATTTTAATAATAAAATAGTCTCATAAAAATCGAAGTTAAATAATTCTCTGACAAAACTATCTTTCCTCAACGAAAAATGCCAACATTCTACCGAAGAAAGAAAATAAGGATAGAATTTCTTAGTCAAGGAAGGAGAGAGTGAAAGAGACTATGAAACACGGACACGTCATTTTGGAGAAAAAATGCGTGTCCGACACAGACACGTTCGGACACACGTCCGACACGTAGTTGACTTTTTAGGACGTTGACTAGTGGGACACGCGAATTTGACCGTATCCGACATGCGGTCAACGTAAATGGACACGTTTTGCAGTGGAAGCCTGGAACCCTATTCTCCTCCGATCCTCTCTCACGCTGGAGGCTTTCTTCTTCGTTGTCGGTGGTTGGTTGGTCGTCTGCATCTCCGGTAATAATATAGGCAGTGGAAGCGGAGATCAATATAGCTCCTCCTCCGGCTTAGTCCGCCAAGAAGCTCCTCATCAAAGTCCACAAAGGTACCGCCTCTGGCGGCGAAGATCGATGAGATTGACGAAGGGAGCGCGATGTTGGTGTGAGAAATCGAACAAAAAGTAAATGAACTAAAATGGGTCTCTGATGAGATTAAAATGGAGCTTCACTTTGGTGTTTGAAATGGGTCTTTGAATGATTTAGGAAAATAAATAAGAGTATAAATGATGGTGGGGAAGAGTTTGAAAATATGAGGAGAGATCATAAAGGAAAAAAAATGAAAATAAGAGTTAGAGCGTGGAGAACGAAGAAATGAGCGTTGTAGTGAGACGATGAGGAAAAATGAATTTTTAAAAGAGAGACTAAAAAATAAAGATATAAAAATTAAACTCTTTCTTGGGTTAGTAAATAGTAAGTGAGATATGACTAAAGCAAGATAAGTCATATCGCCCCTCAATGAATAGTCCCTTTTTTACTACCTGGTGAATAATTTCTCAAAGGTGCATTAATGGTTAGGATCAGCTTTTGCAACCTCTATTCAGCTAATTTTATGACTTATTATGGATTTATTAAATATAAATTATATTATATATTAAAAAAAAATTAATATCAAAACGTGTCCCAACGTGTTTAAATATGACATTTTTTAAAATTAACGTGTCGGCGTGTCGTGTCGTGACGTGTCCCGTGTCCGTGTCCGTGCATCATAGGAAAGAGAACTCAAGGGTGAATATCCCTCCTGAAGTTTTCTTACCCAATTGTTTTTTTTACTGTCTATGCATACGGTAAATTTGTAAAATTTAGTCATAGAACCTGCTGACTTTAATGGAATAAGATCCACTTATATATGTGTAATAATAATAATTTTTACACCAAATCTTAACCGTTGATTTCTGTAAATCTAATTGTTATAATTTATTGAAAATTAATAAATATAACCCAATAAATTATGGCTTTAATGTTTCTACAGTGAATACAAATAAGTTATCTACATTCACTTCCAAAATGATGTCGTTTTGAGTTGAAATATTAAAAAATTATAATGATAAAGACTATTGTAACCTTGGAATAAATTATAATTACAAAAATACCTTAATTTCCGCTTCAAAACGATGTCATTTTTTGCTCAATGAAAATAATTTATCTGCATTCACTGCAGAAAAAATGAACCCATAAACTATAACCGTTAAATTCACAAAATCCAACAGTTAAAACTTGATGGAAGGCTTTATTCATACGTCGATGTGAATTGATTATGCCCCAACTTTAATACAGACTCGATTACCATAACAGCAAGGTTGAGGTTGTTTGTTTAAGAAATTAATATTTGATTCTTCCCCTAAACAAGCTGTGAATCGTGAACTGTAAACTTGGACCAGCCTAACAAGTCATGTCTCCTCTCTTTTTTTCTCTGTCCAACATTACAAAAAGCGTAAATACCTTTTTTCGTCCCTGTCAATTTTCACAAGGCACAATTTAGTCCCTAGAAGAAAAAAAGTCACATTTCAGTCCCTAATTTTTGAAAAAAAGGGACACGTTTGTCCTTCTGTTAGATGGAATGTGACGGCCCACTTGACGGAGCCCAGCTGGAACGTTAAGTGGCTGAGTCACTAACGTCACAAGCCACGTGGACATAATACGACGTCGTTGTGATACATACCTTGTGTCTAGTTGGATTTTTGGGCAGGTGACCCTTGCATGAAAGGGTTAGTGACCCAATATAGTCCCTGTGAAATTAGGAACCCTAAATCAGCCTAAACCATGAACAAAAAAAACCCCAAAAGCTCCCCACGATGAAGACTGAAAATTGAGGACAGTAGGAGGTGTTTACTGGCTATTTTCTGGTGCGTAGAAGAAGATGAGTATGTCATCTGGCATGGGGGCATCAAGTGGGAGTACGTCTTTTGGGTGTAGAACAACCTCACGGACTGGCGGTCGAAGGTGCAAATGTGGGAGGCAAACAATCGTCTATACATCCAAAACAGAGAGAAACCCAAATAGGGCATTCTTTGGGTGCCCTAATTTCAAGGTATACATTTGTAAATTGAAGTTAATTAACTTGGAATATTTGCTTACCGTGGTTTGCAATTTTGGCAGGATAAGAAGCCCTTTCGTAATTTTTTTAGATGGGTAGATGATGTATGTAATGAAAAGCTGGAGCTTGAAGATGGAAGAATCAACAAGGTGGAGTTGGATGTTGCTGAAATGAATTTTAAGTTGAAGTATGTGGACATGATGATTAGTGAGCAATTGCAAGCTAAGTTGAATGACCAAGGGGTGAAGATTAGTGAGCAACAACTGAAGCTTAATGAGCAGGAAAGAAAGCTGAATGAGCTATATCTGAAGATGGTGGAGGAGTTAGATAGGATGGACAAGGAAATTAGGCATGTTGGTAGGGCAGCTAGGGTCTTAGTTGCTGCTTGTGTAGGGTTTGGGATGATTTGTATTTTGATTGCAATTGTGGTAACAATGAAATGTAGTGTACGAAATGTATTTTTACTTCAATGAAATGTAATGACTTGTACACTACTATGATGATTAAAGTTCAGAATATGCTATTATTATATGGCAATGTAGTTCTATATTGTGAGGGTGGACTGATGTTATGTGCTGTATTGTGATGATTATGACTTTAGTTCTGTATGGCAATGTAGTTCTGTATTGTGATGTAGTTCAGAAGATGCTATTATTAATGACTTGTTCTGTATTGTGATCCTCATGATGGGGCATAACCCTTTTTAAACTGGTTATTGGGAACTAAACACAAAAACGAACATCCCAACTTGGTCCCTGACAATGTGTATCGGGGGCCAATTTGGTCCTTGACAAATGATATCGGGGCCCAATTTGGTCCCTGACACTTAAAAATTGGACATGAACATATGGCAGCAATGGAATGAACATATTGCAGTAAAATGTGTCCACATATGTAACTTCAAACCAGTAAAGACCAACCCCAAACATTTAAAACCTGCATTGTAACTCATGACAGAGATTCAAACATTGGACATGAACATATGGTAGCAATGGAATAAACATATTGCATTGAAATGTGTCCACATATGTAACTTCAAACCAGCAAAGACCAACCCCAAACATTTAACACCTGCATTGTTACTCATTGAATCACAAACTTTTTCCAAAAACATATACACAGAATCAAAAACACCCATACAGAGATTCAAAAACCACCATACAGAGATTCAAAAACACCCATACAGAGACATATTGCAGCAAAGGGAAAAAATGATATAAAAAGGAACTTGTAGTCATTTACAATTCGAAACCCTTCCTTCATAATTATAGGCCTGCCAAAAAGAGAACTTGTAGTCCACATAAACCATTCTAAGCCATCCTTCAAACTATTCCCCTATTATTATTATTTTGCTTCAAAATACACCCATACAGGGACATATTGTGATTCAAAAAAAAAACAAGTACTTCACCTAAAGGCCTTAAATACAAAAAAAATATGGGGGTACAGCTGACAGTCCATACAATTCAAAAAATGGGTACTAAGGACCATTGTTGCCTATACAACAAAAACTGAACCCCTATACAAAAAAGACTGGACCTACAACTGATCATCTTCATTCAAGCTGGCCTTGGTGGCCTAAACCCAGGTGTGGCCATGAATGCCATAAGCTTGCTCCTTGTGCCACTGCTTGTTGCATTGACAGTTTCAGTTGACAATTGTTGTGCTGGTGGTGGGGCAGTAGGTGGTGGGCTGTTGCCCCTAATGGATTCCTCAGCTGCCTGGGACTGTCTTGAAGGTCCTCCTTGACTCAGAGGGAGCTCCTCTTCATGTCTTGCTGGTATGTTGACATTAACTTCATGTGAAGGTGGTGCTGCTCTCTTCCCTCTCTTGCTTGCAGCTGGTCCCTTACAGGTCTTTGCATAGTGACCAGACTGCCCACATTTAGCACACTTTGCAGCATATGTCCTTTTTAATTTTTTAACCATAGCCATGATCTTCAAAAGACATATTATGTTCATCCTCTTCCAAGTTTTCTTCCCTGTCACTCTTGTTAACTGCCTTTTTTGCCTTCTTTCCTTTCACCTTTTTTTCAATGCAATTATTGGCCCATCCTCTTCATCTAGTTCATCCTCCGTTTCGTCATCAACACCCGTTGGCGGAGGCTTATAAGGCTCATCTTCTACACTATCATATGAATCACTTGACAGTCCATTGCCCTCTCCCTCTTCATGTTCATCAGCATAAGTGATATGGAAGTCACACGAACTCCCAACTGAATCACCTAAGACCCCCTCCTCATCATCACTTTGAGGTACAGACCCATCACTCCCTTCTGCATGCCCAGCCAAAATCTCAGGAACTGCAATGCAACCATCAAAATATATGTCTATTTTGTTCCCATTACTTAAGGTAGCCTTGACCATTTGCAAAACATCTGAATCCTTTTCAAGAAGATGCAACCCAACCTCTAAATCACTCTCACCAGGCCTCAACCACCACATCTGCCTACATTTGTGGTAACCATACCCCTTGAACAGAGCTTCAAGGTCACAAAGGTTTACATAGTCTGCATCCATTTCAGGTAAATCATCCACTCTGCCATTCACATAATTCAGCTTCCCTTCATCATTCCTAACCAACACACCCCCATGATGATATCTTATCACTATATATTCATCCATCTGTATAGAAAACAGAACATAATCATTTTTTGCACTACCTTAATATTATTTTACAGTATCATACAACCAATCAATTATTATCAATATTACTATAATACTGTAACAGTCACTGTTATTTTAAATGCTGCATTGCTAAAAAAATTAGGGTTTTTTTGTAATCACTACACATAGCAACTTAAAATAACAACAGGGGGACCACATGCAACAAGTTCCTAAAATATTCTACCAAAGGGGACCACATAAAATAAAACCCTAACCATCACTTGCCCTAAACCGCACATGGGAGACCACATTAAGCAAAAACAATGACCAAAAAGGATAGAGGGACCACAGATAATAAAGAAAGGGTTTCAGTCACGTACCTTGCACGAATGTCACCACACTCACAACCGTTTTAAGGATCTTCACCCTAAACCACAATACTTCCAAATGCTTGCAACTGCAGAAGACACGTACACCAACAAAGCACCGTAGGTCACCAACCTTCACCGAAAACGAAGCTCACGAGCAGAGGAAATGGCGGACGAAATGGCGGGTATGGAAGAGTTACTTGTTGTCTGACTGTGTTAACTGAGTCAAGAACATAGGTTCAAGAAGTCTCTCTTCATCAAACGACGCCGTCCCCTTCTACTCACCTGACTAAACCTTCCAATATAAGATGACGTCGTTCCTTTCTCCTCCACGTGGCTGTGACATTAGTGACTCAGCCACTTAACGTTCCAGCTGAGCTCCGTCAAGTGGACCGTCACATTCCATCTAACAGAAGGACAAACGTGTCCCTTTTTTTCAAAAATTATGGACTGAAATGTGACTCTTTTTTTCCTAGGGACTAAATCGTGCCTCGTGAAAATTGCCAGGGACGAAAAATGGTATTTACTCTTACAAAAATTGCTCAATTTTTGTATTGCATAAATATTAATTGTTGGACAAGTGGCCTCAAACTCAAGAGGAGGGTGAATTGAGTTTTAAAAATATTTTCGCAAAATGCTTCACTTTCTTTCTTGAAAACGGATTTCTTGAGTTTATATGATTTGACACAAGTAAAGTTTGAAGAATAGAAATTAGTACAAGCAAATAATATGCAAAGTATGAATTTAAATATGCTTAAGTATTCTAATCATGCTTATGTAAAGAGATAAGGAGTTAGAGAGATTGCAAACAAGATATATCCTAATTCGGTCACTACCACCGTGACCTACATCCAGATTGAAGCCGCTCGATCAACTTTCCACTCATGGTCAAGCTTCAAGGTGCTTCACAAACTACTACAACCTTCAAGAATTTTGGTTCTAGAAACCCTTACACTTCCACTCACTTTCTTAGGCTATGAGCAACTTTTCACTAGGGTCTTACTACCCTCAACTCAAATAAACAGAAGCAGAGTGTTTAGAAATAGATTTGTACTCTTAAAGTACAGATTATACAAGTTGAAGCTTATGGATATTGATCAATGACACAAAGCTCAAAGGAGTTTTATGATTAATATGAGTAAGAACAAGTAATGAATGTGTTTGATTTAGAGAATAATCAAGAATAATTGTAAAATCAATGGAACAGTAATTCTTAGTTTTATGAATCGCAATAAATGAGTTTATATAGGTGTTGGTACGAAACTAGTTGTTTATAGCCGTTGGAATGTTTACTACCCAATAAGTATTCGAATACTTTTCGTGAGGTATTCGAATACTTCATCAAGTATTCGAATACTTTTCATAAGGTATTCAAATACTTTGTTCTCAGCACAAGTATTCGAATACTAGTCAAGAAAGTATTCAAATATTTTCTTGACAGAAATTATGTATTACAATTTTCTTTGAGTTGTAAAGCATTTCAACTTGCCTCTAATCACTTTTAGTGCAATTCCTTGACTTGTTAAAATTGTTTTAAGGTTACGAAATATGTCAAGGGTCTTTTTTATGAATTATTCAAAAAAATTCAAGTGATTAGAGTCATAGATGATGCATGTACATAATTAAGTATCCTTTGAGCTCATTTATGCACCATTAATCAATTACCTTTACATTCACATCTAAGCCCCAAGGATCTACGACTATCTTGTTCATGTGTGTTGAAAGCTTTGCTTCTATTATCTTGTTGAATTGCTTCCTTGAACTTTTTGATTGTTGCGAATTGTATTATCCTTGAAGTCGCTTCCAAGCTTGTTTGTTATCATCAAAACTCTTGTATAATTTCACTTTTCATTTGAAATACATTGGTTTCACATTAACTGCTTAGCATCGATGAGTTTAGTAGCCTCAAAATTTGGATGATTATGCTAGCTTCAGATTCGATCCCAATTTATATCTTCTGAGGTAGCTTCGTTGCAGTCATTCCTACAGTGAGAGAAATATGATTGCAGAGATTTTCTAGCTGTTGCTGTTTCTTAGGGGGCTTGGCCGTCCATTGTTATATAAGAACACGATTTACAAAATATCCAGGAACTTGAAGATTTGTAGCCTACTTAACTAGTATAGTAAGAGAATGTGTCCAGTAAAAGAAAATGGTTACACAAGGACAACCGCAGTTGCTTTCCTCGAATATTCCACAATATAGCCCATTTCAATTAAATGCAAATAACTCTAAAGCTATAAGAGAATACTGGAGTATATATGACAACAAACTATAACCTTTATTGTCCATATATCGAAAATGAGTACACAACGCTACCTAGCTCTAGATAGTTACATATCTACAGAAAAAGTTTTGGAACGGTAGAACATGAAGGGAGAGGGAAAACTAACAGGCTAAAAAACAACAATCATTCCAGTGACTTGAGAAGCCTAAATAACGCGGCGGCCTCTCTAATCCTCGAAAACTCTATGCAAAACGCTTGAACTTCAATGAAGAGATCTTTAACTGCAAGATGGGATCATTTACTAAAATCAGTGAGATGCTGCCAAATTCACTATCCTCTTTTTATGTCAGTAAAATAATAATACAAAACTACATCCAAAGCACGCCAGAAAACACAATAAAAAGTCCAGACTAGCCAAAACAGATCGAAAATTGTGGATAATCAGCAAACGAAAATAAGTAACCCACAGAAACCAGGCTAAATCATCACTCAATACTGAGTGTTTTTTTCTCATTCATATAATGAAATAGGCCCAACAAATAGTTAGATTCACCATCATGCTTTTGCTCTAATAACTCTGCCTAAAATGGTACCGTGTATACACATCAGGGAACTTAGATATAATATAGAAAGTTTGAATGATGGAACCAGTTTTTCCATTAAAACTACAAGAAAAAAAAACGTACAATAAATAGACACCAGAAATATTCCAGTGCAACAAATCCCTATAATCAGGGAAAGAGATAAAACTAGAAAACTGAATCCTATTTTAACTAAACAGGAAAAATATCAGAAACAAACTAATCCTAGGAATTTAAATAACAAATAACGAAACAAACTCCTAAGATTAAGGAGGAAAAATAAAACATTCTAGATGCTGAAAACTAGGGATTGCAACACTCCCGCTCAAGCTGGGTGGTAGATGTCCAGCATTCCCAGCTTGGAAATTAGTCCTTCAAATTTAATTCTTGATAAAGACTTGGTTAAGATATCAGCAATCTGGGACCCTGTGGAAATGTGACTTAGATCAATAATATTTGCATCAATTTTTTCCTTGATGAAATTTCTATCAAGTTCAACATGCTTGGTACGGTCATGATGGATTGGATTATTGACAATTCCAATGGTGGCCATGTTATCACAGAAAATCTTCATAGGATCCTTGTATTCGAGGTGTAGCTCCTTTAGGACTCTTAAAATCCACATTCCCTCACAAGTGCCTAAGGACAATGCCCTGTATTCGGCTTCAGCACTGCTTCTGGCTACCACAGACTGTTTTTTACTCCTCCAAGTGACCAAATTTCCCCACACATATGAGCAATAGCCTGTGGTTGATCTTCGATCGATAATGGATCCTGCCCAATCAGCGTCCGTGTAAATCACAATATCACGGCTGGAATTTTTCTTGAAGAACAATCCTTTACCAGGAGTCATCTTTAAGTATCGTAGGATTCTGTAGACGGCTTCCAAGTGCTCTTCATTTGGGCTGTTCATAAATTGACTGACCACACTCACAGGGAAACTAATATCAGGCCTAGTGTGGGCTAAATAAATGAGTTTTCCAACTAGTCTTTGATATCTCTCAGTGTCTACCGAAGCACATTCTTGTTTGAGTCCTATCTTGTAGTTCGCCTCCATTGGTGTATCAGAAGGTTTACATCCCAACATCCCTGTTTCATTCAGCAGATCAAGAGTATATTTTCTTTGAGAAACTGAAATTCCTTCCTTAGTTCTTGCCACTTCCATTCCAAGAAAATATCGTAATTTTCCAAGGTCCTTGACCTCAAATTTGTGAGCTAACGTCTCCTTTAATTGCTTTATCTCATCCTCCCAATTACCAGTAATCACAATATCATCAACATAGACAATTAATATTGTAATTTTCTGATGAGGTGCAGTTTTAACAAACATAGTATGATCAGTTTGACATTGGGAGTACCCTTGATTTTTGACAACTGCAGTAAACTTATCAAACCAAGCCCTTGGAGATTGCTTCAAACCATAAAGGGATTTTAATAATCTACATACCTTTCGAGATCCTTGACCATCTTCCACTCCTTGGGGAATTTCCATGTAAACCTCTTCTTCTAAGTCACCATTTAAGAATGCATTCTTCACATCCATTTGCCAAAGGGGCCAATCTAGGCAAGCAGCAATGGACAAAAGAATTTTAATTGAATTAAATTTTGCTACTGGAGCAAAGGTTTCCTGGTAATCAATGCCCTGTGTCTGAGTGAATCCTTTGGCCACAAGTCTTGCTTTATGGCGATTAATACTCCCATCTTCATTATATTTGATGGTAAAAATCCACTTACAGCCAACCACTGATTTTCCTTGTGGTAAGGTAACTATCTCCCAAGTGCCATTTTTTTTGAGTGCATGCAATTCATCCTGGATAGCAGAACACCATTCAGTAGTCTTAGATGCCTCAAAGTAGGATGTAGGAATGGTTTCCTTGTCAATGTTCTTGACTAGATGCTGCATCCTGGAGGAAAGATTAGCATAGGATATAAAATTACAGATGGTTAGACTTGTACATGTCCTTACCCCCTTACGAAGTGCAATTGGCATGTGCAGAGCATCATCAGAACTTGGCAGCAAGGATTCAGTTTGGTCAAGTGCAGGACTAATGGTTTCTTCAGTTGGACCAGGAGCCAAGGTAATCTGTTTGTCAACATGTTCAAGCATCTCAGAAGTTGTTCTGTATTTGGGCCGTCGCGTGTAGACTTGCAGGGGCTGCTGTTCAGGCGGTTTCTGGAGCGGGCCGGAAGAGGATAATCCATTAGATGAAGTGTCATTTTCCTGAGATTCACCTAAGACCGGTGTAGGGGCTGTTGAAGCAGAGTTTTCTGGAGTATTAGTCACAAACAACCATTCCTTGGAATTAGGGATCTCCCCCTGAATGGCGGTTTGGGAAAAATAAGGCTGATGTTCAAAAAAGGTGACATCTTTAGTAATGTAGAATCGATGTGTGGCTGGACTGAAGCATTTATACCCCTTCTGAGTAGGGGAATAGCCAAGAAAGATGCCCTTAAGAGCCCGAGGATCCAATTTACCACCTTGAGAGTTATGAATGAACACGGTGCAACCAAAAATTTTTGGTGGGAGATTTGGGGTTAAGGTAAATGAAGGGAATGCAGTGAGGAGTGTTTGGTAAGGTGAGGAGAAGTGTAATACCCGAGATGGCATGCGGTTGATAAGGTAAGTGGCTGTAAGAATAGCTTCCCCCCAATAATTTTTGGATGTATTTGAGGCAAAGAGTAGGCTACGAGCAACTTCAAGTAAATGGCGATTTTTTCTCTCAGATACACCGTTTTGTTGTGGGGTATTGACACAAGAGCTCTGGTGGATGATGCCATGGTCTTTTAGGTAAGCTGAAAGGTCCAAGTTAAAATAATCACGTGCATTGTCAGATCTAAGGGTAAGGATTTGGGTTTGAAATTGGGCAAGGATCATTTTGTGAAAGACTTTAAAGGTGGATGTGACTTCAGATTTATTGGCTAATAGGTACACCCATGTCATTCGAGTATGATCATCAATAAATGTGACAAACCAACGAGCACCCGTAAGGCTTTTAACAGTTGCAGGTCCCCACACATCACTGTGGATAATGGCAAATGGTTTAGAAGGAACATGCATTTGTAAGGGATAATGAGACCGAGTTTGTTTTGCAAGTTGACATATATCACATGAAGGAAAATTCGAATTCTCATTAAATAAAGAAGGGTACATCTTTTTCATATATTGAAAGTTTGGATGCCCTAATCTAAAATGCCATAAAAGAGCCTTATTCAAATTGCTAGTTGCTGCAAATGTGCTGTCTTGAGTCTTCATAACCGCGGCTGTGTAAAGTTGATATAAACCATTAGAGACCCTAGCACTGCCAATCGTCCTCCCCGATGCCAAATCCTGAAAAATACAATCAACGTGGGTAAATTTGACTGTGCACTTTAAATCCTTGGTCAATTTGGTAATAGAAATTAAATTGCAGGTAAGAGATGGAACGTAGAGAACTCCAGTTAAAGATATGGTTGACGATAGGTGAACAACACCAATTCCGTGAACCTTGGCTAAGCCTCCATTTGCTGTTTTTACTGATTTTGCCTCGAAAATGGGAAAGTATTCAGAAAGAAGAGAGGAATTACCAGTCATATGATCTGTAGCCCCAGAATCTACCATCCAGGAATCACATTTATCAAGATCGGATTGGAGAGCTGTATGGAATGTACCTGATTGATGACTATCAGATGAGGGATTAGATTTGTCCTTATTGCAATCTTGCAGCATGCGTTGTATGGCTATCACTTGTTCCCTTGTAAATGTATGGCCTTCGGATTTTGCTTGCGGAACATCTTCTACAACTGCAGCAACATGATTAAAGTCTCTGTTTTGTCTTGGCTTCCAATCAGCTGGCTTGCCATGGATTTTCCAGCATGTATCCCGAATATGCCCAGTTCTGTTGCAATGGTCACACCAGAGCTTACCATTTCGCCTAGGTCTGGAGTCTGCATTGTTGGGTCTAGAGACAAAGGCTGCTGCTTCCAAAGGTGCATCAACTTTTGGGATGCTATTGGTCAAAACTTTGCGGCTTTCTTCCCACTTTAATTCAGAAAAAACTTCTCGCAAGGATGGCAGAGGGCGAGTGGCCATGATGCGGCTGCGAGCTCCATCATAGATTGGATTGAGTCCCAAAAGAAGGTTGTAGGTGCGGTCTTGTTCAACAATTTTCTTATACTGAAGAGTATCGGCTGGAGTAGTCCATTCATGTTGATCATAAAGATCCAATTGTTGCCAGAATTTTAGGAGTGAATTATAATAGCTGGTGACATCCTTGTCCTCCTGTTTGAGATCACGAAGAATCCCCTTGATGTGAAACAAGGCAGCTGTGTTATCTTCCTTAGAGAAGGCTTCCTTCACGCCATCCCAAATTTCCTTGGCTGTGGAGCACAACATGTATGTTTCAGCTATTTCAGGCACCATGGAATTCAGCAACCAAGACATCACAAGGTTATTTTCAATGGACCACTTCTTGTATTGTGGATGACTGGTTTCCAGAGGAGCAGCATCACCCGTACCGGTGAGATGATCTCCCTTGCCACGGCCTCCAATGAACATACGAACGCTGCGTGACCACAACAAATAATTGTCTCCATTGAATCGATGACCAGTGATGACTAATGCTGGACTATCGTTGGTAATGACAGCTGCTGAGTTGTTGTTGGTTTGGTTTGATGCTGAAACATTGAGTGGGGTTGTTGTTGGAGTGGTATTTGTACCGGTGGTATTGGAAGAAGTAGTTTGGTAGGCTCTCATGGTGCCAAAGAGTGGCACATTGGTAGCCATGGGTGGATCAGTCCCTTAAAAATCAAGCTCTGATACCATATAGAAAGTTTGAATGATGGAACCAGTTTTTCCATTAAAACTAAAAGAAAAAAAAACGTACAATAAATAGACACCAGAAATATTCCAGTGCAACAAATCCCTATAATCAGGGAAAGAGATAAAACTAGAAAACTGAATCCTATTTTAACTAAACAGGAAAAATATCAGAAACAAACTAATCCTAGGAATTTAAATAACAAATAACGAAACAAACTCCTAAGATTAAGGAGGAAAAATAAAACATTCTAGATGCTGAAAACTAGGGATTGCAACATATAATGGTTGCAAATGATTATCCAATGATGGTTTGTTCACGAGCTTTATGCAGCTGTATGTTTGAATATAATGGACAGGCAATTCCCAGCAAAACCCCTTTGGAGGTTTATCTCGCTATGCTGACACAACTTTCCTACTAGCTTACAAATTAAAGAGCATATTATTGGTAATTGCAAGCGACAGAAATATTTCTGGACATATTCAGGGAAGAAGGGACAACCAAAAGAACTTGAATTGGGTGCCTTCAACTAAGAACATGTCATTTACAATCTTCTCTACTAGGCTTTTAACAAATTCCAAACATGTTTCAAGTATGCTATGTACCTAATAATCATACTTGTCATAGAATTTGTCTAAAACAAAACTAGCTATTTATACTTTTGTAGACATTCAACTATGTCCCAACTCACTTAATGTGTCAAATACCTATTCAAATACTGGATTAATAAGCGATGATAACTGTAACCACAGTCTGCCACAATGGATAACAATGATCACCATAGACATGAATGCAACCGCTCATTCTCTAAGCTAAGTAGTAAATATTGTTAGAGTTATATAAAACTATTAAAGAGACCCTCACCCAACAGTTTAAGCTTTTGAGTTGAATTGGTTCTTTACATAGTATCAGAGCCTCGGTGTCTAGGGTTCAATCCTAAGAACCCCCTATTTTCTTTGTGGAATTTTCTTAACACAAGTAGATTGGGCCTAATGCATCATCCACCTTTCAAGCCCAATGGGCTCTCTTGTGAGGAGGCATAGAGTTATATAAAACAATTAAAGAGGCCCTCATCCAACAACTTAAGCTTTTGGGTTGAATTAGTTCTCTAAATATACATAAATACAAAATGTCATTTACGAACAACAATTCCAGGTTTCAGCAAAAACTGAGTTAACTCACCATTAATAATGTTGTTCCGAATTAGGCTTTGCAGAAAAACACAAACAAGTCTAACAAGTCGGTTCTGCATGTATTTATCCTGAAAGAAAAAGGTACAATGCTTAGATGTTAATTATGAAAATGGAAGAGACACAAATGGTTATGGAAACTTTTTTAAATTTGCATTTTCCTATGCCAAATTATTTGTATTGATACAACAGACCGCTGCTAAATAAATAAACATAATAAAAAAGGGCAACCATAAAACTTTGCAGTACTAAGACATACACAATGAGCAGATCATAAACCCATTTCAAAATGAAACTGATGCTATGATACAACTTATTCATCCATTAGAATGAAACAGCTCCACCAGAACATTAAATTAACTTCTGTAAAATATGTTCAAACTGAAAATATATAATGGTAGCACAACTTTCACCAGGTTATTTAACTTTCCTCACACGTCTAGCTTCTTACAAGTGCCACAAGAAAAAAAGGCAGAGCCCTCAAATCATTTTGACCACAAGATCTTGCACAAATGTTAGGAAAAAGAGACCACTCAAAGATCAAACAAACACTTAAAAAACTAAAAAAGTTAATGATGCAAAATATAACTTCTTTTATGGACCATTATAGCAATCATTCAACATTGAAAATAGGAACAAACAAAATCCAAAAGTGGCTATTCTATTATGTTAATTATACGCCACAGTTCAGTGCCTCCCACTGATTTTTGGATTTGCGGAAAAAGAAAGCACTCTAGCATTCACACATGGGTGATTAAGATAAGGGCACAATCATCTGATAGGACGAAGGTATATGCTAGGAAGCGTTTAGGGGATTATTGGAGCATGACAAGTATGATAGTCAGAATATTCTAGAAGAATGAGTTTGTTAGAGGAAAGAAGGAGGGTTGTGCTGAGGTGGCAAGGTTGTTAAAGAGAATAAAAGATGCAGGGTGGCGTGAGGATAGGCATAAAGGATTGGGACTGGACTTGGAGAGCTCAGCATCTCTCTAATCTGCTGATCTTTAGCTTCTGTTTTTAGCATCAGTTTCTGTAATTAGGATCTTATCAGTGTTAGGTGTCACTGTAATTTTCTTTTGTTTTTCCATTACTGTTGAATTGTCTCTGTAGTTGCACTTCCCTTTGCTGATATAATATAGAAAATCCAGCTCTCTGGGCCACTTTTTGGTGTTTGTTGCATTAAAACTCTAATATTTGATCCAGTTCTTATCAGTTGATATCAGAGCACTCCGATCCTAGGGGTGCTTTGAACGGTTTAATGCGCGCCAAGGAAAATCACTTCGAGAAGGAGTTCTAAATCGACGGAATCAGGAGAGTTTCAACGAAGACTTTCACCATGTTGATTGGCCAACTCCTAAGCTGGAGCTTCCTCGATGTACGGAGCTGTTGCAGAAAAACCCACCTACTTTGACAAAGATGATGAAAGAGACGATGCTAATGTAGAGAAGAAACTTGGCGAATGATGGGTTTGGAGTTACGGGTAATGGCAAAATAGAGGAGGGGCAGGTGGAGGGAGAGACCCTCCAATTGTTGATGTTCAGTGTGATGGGTTTCTCTTCAACCCAAATGTTGAAACTAGGATGTTCAACCAAGAGGGAAAAGGTAGTCATGTTGGTAGATAGTGGCGCGTCTCACAATTTATTGAGGAAATTAGTGGCGGAGCGGCTCAAATTGTCGATACAGGAGTGAACATAGTTGCAGAATTCCCCGATTGAACTTGTTATGTGGGGACTCATCTTTAATATACTTCGAGCATATACGGGGCTCTACAATTCAAGCAATGGGATCCTGGTGGAAGGCTGTTGAGGGGTTAAACCCCACCTTGAGGACAAGGTGAGTGTTTTGGGGGGGGGAGTATTGATAGGACGAAGGTATATGCTAGGAAGCGTTTAGGGGATTATTGGAGCATGACAAGTATGTTAGTCAGAATATTCTAGAGGAATTAGTTTGTTAGAGGAAAGAAGGAGGATAGTGCTGAGGTGGCAAGGTTGTTAGAGACTATAAAAAGTGCAGGGTGGCGTGAGGATTGGCAGAAAAGGATTGGGACTAGACTTGGAGAGCTCAGCATCTCTCTGATCTGCTGGCCTTTAGCTTCAGTTTTTAGCATCAGTCTCTGTAATTAGGATCTTATGAGTGTTAGGTGTCACTATAATTTTCTTCTATTTTTCCATTACTGTTGAATTGTCTCTGTAGTTGTACTTCCCTTTGCTGATATAATATAGAAAATCCAGCTCTTTGAGCCACTTTTTGGTGTTTGTTGCGTTAAAACTCTGATATCTGACACAGTTCTTATCATCATCCTTGTAAGCACAAAAAACATGTTTGTGCATTTGTCATGCACTCGTGAGGATACGTTTCTTTCCAGTTAAAAGAATGTTGAATTGAAGTCAAATTGCTATCTAGAAAGCACTTCTATATACCACAAGGCAACAAATAGGTTGGTGATTATTGTCAAAATTCAGACCTAACAAACTCCCTTAAGGTCAATCATTTTCCTATCCACAGTCATTTTGAATTCTACATAATCTTATTGTCTTTAAGTTTACCAGAAATATCATAAAGAAACTCAATCCGATATCCCTACACAATCTACAGTATATGAATTAAACAGAATGCCACTAACTCCATTATTTCAGAAGCATACTCTTCCCGTGAAAAACACATTTTTGTTTGGCAGAAAATAAAAAGAGCACAAAGGCAAAGTGATGTACCTTGATGTTCACACAGGATGATATACAATTAGTTATGTACATGTGAATGAATTCTGAAGGCAGTTCAACTGCTGTTGTAAGCCTGTTCACAACTTCCATTGAGTGTAGACTCATGTCCATATTGACAAGTACTGTAAAGTATCTGTATCCATAAATAAGCAAATAGAAATAAAGAAAATAATAGCGATTGGGTAATTTATAAACAGAAGGACAGAAAAATAATATAAAGGCAAAAATGCATACTCTGCTATTTCGGGAGAATTTATCAACTTAGTGAGAACATCAACTGCGATAAGCGGATTGTTTTCCACCAGTTCCTGATAAAAAAGAAATGAGAAGAAGACATCAAGACCCAAAGTTATTCATTAAAAAGATTACAAAAACACGTACTGGCAACTTTCTTGGAGTCAGTCCACAGTGATATACAAGCTTTGGATCGTTGGCCAGCTCCACCAGGACTTGCTGGATTAAAAAAAATCACAAGCATTTCATTAAAGATTTGACTAGATAAGAACTAAGGTATAGATATCACTTTCCATACTGCAATGTGATGTAATTTGTAGCATGGAGTCTGTACAGGAGATCAGCTTAGCTATTACAGATAGAAGTCATCATGTTGGTTTTTTTTTTTTATGCTTTCCTTAAGACATCCCAAGAGAGGGGAAAAATTTTCATTACAAATGAATCACGAAAGTCCACCATGTAATCTCATTTCTACATAACAAGTTATGGGTTCAGATGCCATACATGGCTCTTTCCCTTAATAAGTGTGTTGTGTGTGGTGCTTATGCAGAATCAGTTCCTCATCTGTTCCTACATTGTTCTGCTGCTGTCTCTTTATGGCATACACTGACTGTCCTTTTTGGTGAATGCTAGGTGTGCCCTAAGTCCAAGGACTGATTATTGTTAACTAACTTTAATGGTTTTAGTCAAAGTAAAAAGGCTAAAATTTTTATGGCAATTAGCAATCCACACTACTATTTGGTTCATTTGGTTAGAATGTAACACTCATATTTTAAGGATGTTTATTGTCTTAGCAAATGATTTGAGAAAAGATGAAGAGTATAGCTTTTGTTTTGTGTAAAGCACATGGTCTTTTCAAGGGGGCGAACCGGAGCAGTGGTAAAATTGTTCCTTCATGACTGAAAAGTCATGGGTTCGAATCCAGGAAACAGCCTCTTTGCAATTATGCAAGGGTAAAGATGCGTACAAGGATTTCTTCCACCCCACACTCGCTAGTCGGGTTTAACAGGGAGTGGTTTTTTTTTTTTTTTTTTTTTGGTTTTTTATCCTTAACAGATATGCACATGGATTGAGTAATTTTGCTCCTTTGATGCTTTCTTATCATTTTGATGAATTTCTTCTTCTATCAAATAATAATAATAATCATCACCTCTTGCTGTGCAGGCGCAAGGGCTCCCTTCAGAGCTTTTGCAATTAAGTCCCTTACTGCAGCCCCTCTGCTAGTATCAACGCACATACCATAGTCCCACATAAGTTCATGATTGTCATCAGGGTTGAGCCAAACTAGCTGTAAAGAGTTTCCCAGCATAAATAGTTTGAATAATGAAGCCTCAGGAATTAATTAGTTTGAATAATTAAGCCTCGTAAATATGCAGTACCTCCCCATCAAGTATCGGGAGCCTTGGTGGAAGAGGCCTGATCCAGTCAGGACTCAATCCTTCCAGTGAAAGATTTGACAATAACCCAACTACTGCCTCATCTTTATCTCCAGTGCCAAGTTTGGGTTTTGTTCCAGGTCGCAAATCAAATCTATAAATAGGTCATTAATATCATAGAGAACAGATAAACTTTTAATTGCCATTTAAAAATAGCTATTGAAAACTATTGAAGGGTGAAAAAAAAAAAGAATAAATAAAAAGCTTCGTAAACTGCATAGAACCGTACTCTAGTGAATCTGCATCACAACTTGGAGGGACATCAGGATCTGGGACAACATTTTTTACAGAATCATCCTTAAATAAGCAATGATATGGTTCTTGATGAACTTTATCAGAAAACTGCTTCTGTAACTGATCTAGTGGAGGGAAATCCTGGAATCAGAGAGGATAGATAAGTATAAACGTCCACATGACGTAAAGCAAAGGAAGGATAATCCTGAGACATTTGAGAGAAGGCAGGGATACATTTCAGAAAAGTTAGATACTATGGAAGGACAATATTCTATATATTATGGATAAGTACTTTGCATATCTGTAAGTAACTTACATGCAATGACTGATCAAAACCTTTCACATAATCTGATGCCGACTGTTTAAGAAACTGCAATCCCTCAGGGAAAAAAAAATAAGCACCTCAGAAATTACAAACCATTATAGATAAACATCTAATGAAAGAGAAAGTAAGGAACCAATCGTGCACAACAACAAACACATCATGCCACATATACTTGATAGAGACGTACCACAAATATTTATATGCATGTCGAAGGTGAAACAAGCGACAGAATATAATAGTGAAAACATGTTAGAAACATGTTTGACAAACAAAGAACATCCCATTTACAAATTTTTTAATCTAAAACAAAATTTAATGACTAATAAGAGGAATGTTTTTATCAAGGTACTATTTGGAGGGTAGTAGGCAAAGGCTACATGGAAGGAAGATAAAAACTTAAACAGACAAGGATGAGAGGCAAACCAAAACAAGCCAAAAGGAAAAATATAAGGACAATCAAATCAGCAGTCTCTTATAATATGATCCAGACAAGTAAACCCCCTTAAAAAAAATTGATTTCCTATATCATGCATCTTCTGGCTAAATTTTCTACTTTCCAACTAAATACTCCCAATTTAAAGAAAACAAAGCACGCCCCTATAAAATCTTGCTTTGCTCATTCCATACTTGACTAAGAGAGGTTGTTGCAGATTACCAATAAAAGGATTACATATTGTAACTTGCACATGCCTAATAAGAATATCTATAGACATCCTCTTCCCAAACTCCGAGTTTAAAGAAATTGTAGCTAATAGATAGAGAGAAATGATGTGTCACGAGATAATGGGAAATTTGTTGAACAGAAAACGACATCAGTAAGGAGGAAAAATAGAGCGATAACAATGTATATCACTAGTGTTTTAAGACATAATAAAATAGAATATAACCTCTTTGCTGCTGTTGGAGCTATCAACACCTACTAGCTGTAGAATAAATGCTCTCTCAACTTTTTCTGACCCTTCATGACAGGAAGCCTGTAACCAAGAAATTATCCTTATCTCAACACTCACAACAAAATAACATTGCAAAAATTCCATTAGAAGCATTTAAAAAAAAGATGATAAAAAAATGCAAAGAGAAAAAACACAAGCTAACTTAATAGTATAGAGATAAAACAATGCAATATCAGTTGCTTACTATTAACCTTGAGTAATTGTTTTAGCTAATGTTGTCTTCTTAGGTCCTCCACTCCCCTTTAATTGCACTATCTTCTATTGACTCCCCTTTTCTCATTGGCATGGTTGTCAAATTGCAAGTTTAACTCAAACTTGTACGGTTTTATGCCTTAATGCGACAAAATCGCATTAACTCACAGCAAATTCACGATATGATAGAATCATTGTAAACTTCGCTCAAATTCAACTCACATAAACTCGAGTTTAAGGACATATTTGTGAGTTTAACTCATTTTCATAGACTACACATTCTAAAATAATTTGGGTTATCAATGACCTTCATATCCAGCCACATTTTCTCTAAAAACAGTGTTTCTAAGCTCCAAAACTCCTCATCAGCTGCTTTTAGCAATGCTTACTCTATGTGCATCAGTCATTCAGACTGGAGAGGTTACTGTTTTGTTCAACCTAGCCCCATAGACAGTTTTCTCTCAGCAGCTTCATTGGCAGTTTCTTCACAGGACTGGCATACATTCAGACCAGTTCCAACTTCCATCATTCTTGTTTCCTTTGCTACTATGGTTTCATACTTGCTAATTTTATTATTAAATGTCTAGCTCTTCATCTGGGCATAAGTTTAGAGGTAGCTTCTAAATGTACCTTCATACTCCATATCAACTACAAAGGTGTTTCATGACATTTTCAGATTTCTAATTTTGGATGAAATATAGTTAGTTCTATTTTGTTAGAATTTCAGACTTGAGAAACTGTGCATGGTAGAAAATTATTCTGCAGAAAGAATATTAGCTTTCAATATTTGTATAAGATTTTGATCACAAACTTTTTATTCATTTACATGAGCTAGAAAGAGGAAATAGGATAAGCTGGCATAAATGTACCATGGTACAGTGTGTTCCTAAGGAGCAGTTTTCCCATTTTGTTGAGCTATTTACTGTCTGATATTGACAATCTTTTAACTGATTTCAGTGGCAAAGCCTTATTTAACGTGTTTGCCTGTCTTTCTTTAGTTTTTTCATTGTGTCTTTGTTGAGGAATATTTTCCTTCTCTTCCACTGTACTTATTCTTCTTCCCTATAATTCAAAAACTCGTTCCAAGAAATGGACAAACCATAGTAGTAACCGTACATAAAAGATACAACGATTAAAAACAAAAATTGCTTACATCTATGATAAAGCTTATGAAGGGATTTGAAGCGGGTTTCTGGGATGAATAAGCCTCAACTAGCAGAGCAAAAGCTATTAATCGCTCAGTGGTGTTGAGTACCTTATTGTCCTGCTTGAAAAAGGTTCCAATTAGACAATATTTAACACCATTACCAATTAACTAGCAGGAACCAAAAAACACATACACACGCAGAAGCCAAAATCTGTATCTAACAAAATACAAATTTTTAATCCACAAAAAAATGGCATGCCAAAATCTGAATCTGACTAGGTACAACATTTCTGATTAAAAAAAAAAAAAAAAAAACAGAACCCCATTATTTGAACTGTGATTACAAAATCAAAAGCAACCTAAGAATCCTAAAACCCTAATGAAGTGACATATGCAGAAAGGTTAAAATTCGAGAAAGCGATTGAAGAGAGTGTTGCCTGTAAGAGCATGAGAAGATAGGAACAGAGAGTGAAATGGCGAGTGGTAGTGATTGCGGAGTTGAATTCAGCGAGGATCTCATGGAGTGGACGCTGTTCTGCTTTGAGCAAAGAGTAAAGTGCTAGTGATTCTTCCCCACTCAACCTCCGAATACTCATTTTCACCGATTGCGAACAATTACTGTGTTTGCGTTAGGGTTTCGGAATTTGGGACTCAGTGAGTTTCAAAACGCGATTCTTTTAGGTCTATTCTACTGTTCCCACCATGAATTTGATTAATGTGAATGATGATCCAGATGATTTATTTATTCCATGGCTACATTGCTACGTTTATTTTATTATTTTATTATTTTTTATTTTGTCGTTTACATGAGCTGCTCCGTTGCTCTCTTTTTTTAAAAAAAATAAAATAAAATCGTTTGGATGTTTTTTTTTTAGCCAAAAATAATTTTATTTTCAGAAAAAAATTATTTTTATTACAGAGTTCATTTCGATATTTACTTAAAAAAAAAAAAAGTAGAAATCACAAACAGTTTTATTTTTAGCCAAGCTCATTGTCCGTTTTAAATTCTTCATTCTTTTATCCTTATTTGCTCAACCACATGAATTAGATTAATTGACATTATTATTTTATTATTAAATAAAGGAAAAAATATTTATCATTTTAAATAATATATACTAAGTACTTTTTTAAGGTAAATGATAGTGTTTCACTTGAAAAAGTATACCCCTCACAAGTTTTCACTGTTCTAAACCCTGTCAGCATACAAATATACAAGAGTCAATACAACAAATTCACTAGGGTTAGCCTAGTGGTGTGGGTGTGTGTAATAGGGTGTGTGTGAATGTGTGGTTGTGTGTTCTATTCCTTGTAACCTACCAAAAAAAAAAAAAAGTCAATACAACAATTTCCTTTCTCTTCACTGCCATATCCTCACTTGGATCCACTAGATTACCCATTCCACATTGTTCCAAATTTTCGTTCTTCCCTTCGTGAATCCTGTAACACTCCATGTACATCGACGTATTATTTAATTATTATATTAAACGCAGCAAAAAATAATTATTAAATAATATTGAGAAAAATAGCATTACTTTTATACTTATACTTTTATTCTCCTATAGAAATATGGGTTGAGTTTTTCTTTTCTTAGATATGGCATTAAACCTAGGGGTGTTCGCGGTCTGGATTGGATCGGTTTTGGAAGCAAAAATTATCCGATCCAATCCCTTCGGTTTGATCATATAATCATCCATTCGGTTTTGATTTTTTTTCAAATCTGATCCGATCCAATCCAATTTTTTTCGGTTTGGATTGGATCGATTTTCGATTTTTTGAAAATCCTAAAATTTATTTCATGATTATTGTGCAAATAACATCTTTGGTATATATTGGCTTTGTAAATTTTTTTTTGAAATACAAAAGCATTAGTAAACTATAATATAATTTTTTTAATTTTAGCAACGAGATATGAAGCTCTACAAAGATAAAATTTTGTTGATGAGATATGACTAGATTTTTTCTTGGGTTTAGTTGATGGGTTAATGGGTCTTGGGTTTAAAAATTTTTAGGCTATGATTAGGGAAATACCCAAGTAGGTAGAGAGAAATTAATATATTGGCTCGGTTTGGATTGGATCGGTTTTCATCATCCCATCCAAAAACTGATCCAATCCAATTAAAATTTGCGGTTTTTAATCGGTTTTCGGTTTATTCGGTTATCGGTTTTTCGGTTCGATCACCGCGGTTTGAATCGGTTTGGATCGGTTGATGAACACCCCTAATTAAACCCAACTTAAACATTTCATACTTTAAAAGGGTTCGTTTTTTCTGCAGTTACTGCAGATAAGTTATCTGCAGTAAGTCCAATACGATGTCGTTTTGAGACGAAAATCATGGTATTTTTGTAATTTTAATTTATTTCAGGGTTATAATAGTCTTTATATTTATAATTTTTTAATATTTCAATACCAAAACGACGTCATTTGGAAAATAAATGCAGACAACTTATCTGCATTAATTGCAGAAATATTTTTCCCTACTTTAAATAGATCATATAACTACTTAACCAATTCAAATCTTCACAACTTAAAAGCTTCACTAATTCATAGATAATGGATAATGCATTCATAACCATTCAAATGGTTGTTCCAAAGGATAAAATCCCCAAGAAAAGTTCATACATGATAATTCCAAGGGTTGCCCCTTACGATGAAATCCCCAAGAAAAATTCCCCTCCAAGAGTTGTCCCAAAGGATAAAATCCTCAAGGAAGGTACACTTTTAATGGCTATTCCAATGGATGAAATCCCCAAAGAAGGCTCGTGTATGAGTTCATTGACCAAGAACTAATGAATTAAACATCACATAAGCTTCTAGGTGTTTGTCCATTGGTTCACTCACCAATGATACAATAACTTTATATGAATACAATTATACTACTTATCTAACATTCAATCAATCATCCAATCATAATCATAACTCCCAAAGGAGCATGGTGGAACAACAAAATGGATAAACTCTCAAGATCCAAGAGTTTACCTCAAGTAGTTTCTTCCTTTCTAAGCTTTCTTCAAGCTCAAGAATCAAGTCCTCAATCTTTCCACACAAAAACCACATATTTCAAGGATGTCAATCCAATTATCAACACATACAACATACAAGCTATTAAGTCAATGCTTTGAATATCCTCAAAAAACATGAGTTTAGAGTACTCACCCTACACTTGACAACTCAAGAATTCAAGCTTCCACCAATGGAATGATCCAATGTGAAGACCTCCTAAGCATTATGAAATATATCTTTTAATGATGTCAAAAGTTTACAAGAAGTCTCAAATTAAAGATGGAGCTTGAAGTAGGGCTGTGCATGGGTCAGGTCGGGTCAGGTTTTTGTCCGACTCGACCCAACTTGGTTTTTATAGGTCAGGTATTTTGACTCGACCCGCTTTCATTTGATCCAAGTCAGGTCTGACTTGGATTGGATTTTGTTGAACTAATTCAGAACCAGTTTGGATCTGACCTGACTTGGTTTCTAAAATGGGTCTGACTTGGTTTCTGAACCGGGTCAAATCTGACCTGACCCGTTTTTGACTTGATTTTCTCACAAAATTTTGTCAAAATTTTTACGTTGCAAAAGACAAAAATTTCGTCACAAAATTATTTTTTCGTCGAAATTTTTACAAAAAAAATTTTTCTATTGAAATTTAGTTCCGTCAACAGTTTTGACGAAAATGATTTCTTCCATCAAATGTTTTGAACGAAAAAAGAATTTTGTCAAAAAATTTGACGGAATGTTTTTCGTTCATAATTTCGATGGGAATGTGTTCTGACGAAAATTTTGACGGAAATTATTTCGAGGGAAATGTTTCATTTGAAAATTTCGACGAAATTTAGATTCTCTAAAGAATTTTGACAGAATATTTTTTTTCGCCAAAATGTTTATTTTGTCAAAAAAATTTACGAATTTTTTTTATAGAAATGTGTTTCGTTGAAAATTTTGATGGAAATTTTTTATCAAAAAACGTGACGAAACTATTTAGTTGAAAATTTTCGATGGAAATGTGTTTCGCTAAAAATTTCGACGAAAACTTTCGCCGAAATTTGAAATCTGTAAAGAATTTTGATGAATTTTTTTGCCGTCGAAATTTTTTGCCGTCAAAATTTTTTGATGACGAAAATGTTTCTGTCGAAAACTTTCGCCAAAATTTAAAATCTGTAAAGAATTTTGATGAAACTTTTGCCGTCAAAATTTTTTGATGACGAAAATATTTCGGTGGAAAACTTTCGTTGAAATTTGAAATCTGCAAAGAATTTTGATGAAATTTTTTGTCGTCGATATTTTTTGCCGTCAAAATTTTTTGATGACAAAAATATTTCCGTCGAAAACTTTCGCCAAATTGAAATCTGTAACGAATTTTGATGAAATTTTTTGCCGTCGAAATTTTTTTATGACGAAAATATTTTCGTCGAAAACTTTCGCCAAAATTTGAAATCTGTATAGAATTTTAAGGAAATTTTTTTATGGAAATGTGTTTCGTCAAAATTTTCAATGGAAATTGTTTTGAGGAAAATGTTTCATTTGAAACTTTCGACGAAATTTAGATTCTCTAAAGAATTTAGACAAAATATTTTTTCTGTCAAAATTTCTTATCGAAATATTTTTGTCAAAAAATTTTACGAATTTTTTTTACAGAAATGTGTTCCGTTGAAAATTTTGATGGATATATTCTTTATCAAAAAATTTGACGAAAATATTTAGTCGAAAATTTTTGATAGAAATGTATTTCGCTAAAAATTTCGACGAAATTTTTTTTTTGTCAAAAAGTTTAACGAAAATGTTTCCGTCGAAAACTTTCGCCGAAATTTGAAATCTGTAAAGAATTTTGATGAAAATTTTTTTCGTCAAAGAATTTCGATGAAAATGTGTTTCGTCGAAAGTTTTTATGAATATATTTTTTTGTGAAATATTTTGACGAAATTTAGATTTTGTAAAAAAATTTGACAACAAAAATATTCCGTCAAATTTTTTTACCGATATGTTTATAGTCACAAATTTTGAGGAAAATATTTTTCGTCAAAATTTTTTGCGAAAATTTTTATGAAAATATTTTTCATAAAAAATTTTGACGTAATTGTTTTACGTTAAAATTTTTCTTTTAATGTAATTGTGATTTTTTTCACATAATGGGTATGGGTCAAGTTTTGGGTCAGTGGGTCAATATTAAAACGAGTCAGGTCTAAAACTGACCCAAATAAAAGTGGGTCAGTATTTAAACCAGTTCAAAAAATATGGGTATTTATGGGTCAGGTCAAGGTCGGATCAAGGGCAGGACAAGTGAACCAGTTTTTTGCACACCCCTAGCTTGAAGACATATGGAAGTATAGCAACTTAAATAGGTTAGATTTTTGTAACACACTTTTATATCACAAAATGTCATATCCTAAGCTCCATTGCATTATATGCATTTCATATTAAAAATAATAATTTATTTTGCTATGGGTTTAGTTTAAAAAAATTCAATTTTAAAAAATTAAAAAAAAAAGTAGGCTTTCAAAATAAAAAGAAATAACGCACTTTGAATTTTCAAAGTTGTTGTTATATCCACGAGGGTTTGTTCTTTTAAAAAGAATATAAAAGTAATATAAAAGTAATGAAAGATAGAAAAGCTTTACTCTTTACCAATTCTTTTTCTTCGTCGTTAGTTGTATGCAGAGCTTACTTTCTTTTTCATATGCTTGGAAGCAAACAATTTTTTTTATTAGAGCTGC